CACTGAGCTAATTTGTTTATTGTAGAAAGTGAGTACACATTTTGTGCTACTTTCTTGTATATTCCGGATTTCTCCTACTGTTGTAATTTTTTAGGCAAAGGTGCAGGGCACATTAATTTTGTCGAAAAAATTAATTCAGAAATCGAATCCGTTTGTAAATCCCAACCTTTCCACATCGGGGCTGAATGCAATAAAGATTAGTGGCGTTACAACTACTGCGACACCTCCAGCGCCCGTCAAGGGAAGATTTTTGAAGGTATATCTAGGGAAAAGAAGCTAGGCGTATATGAGAGCATTGCTTTTTGTTTTTAGGTTCGATCATTTACTTCACTGCAGTCAGTGCCATCGGAATGTATTACGATTCCTGACGATCCACCTCCATATAAAATTACAGAAGTGGACCCGCTGAGCTTCACGACTGAAGAAGATCCGTTGGCTCTATCTTCCGAAATTGTCGCAAGACGTAATAACTTTTGCCGTAGATTAGGATAGATTTTCGTTCAGATGGCTTGATGGCTATACGCTCAAAAAATGCTAGTTGAATCTTGAGATAACTTCAGATTTCGGTAAGCGTGAACTACTGGAACACGCTTGCCTTGTAGCCGGCCGATGCCGGCGTCTCTTTCTACCTTTTCGACTGTTAATTTACGACTTTCGGTTTCATATTTCATCCAGAGTAGTATTTAGTAAATTCATCGAGTGCTGGAGCCCTGCGACTTATTTGTGTGCTTATTTGCATTTGATCTTTGATTCGTTTCCGCGTGCACATAATTAGGGCTGTGACGTGACATCGGGGGTGACCCGTAAGTGATGGGGCACTAAGATAATATTTGTCTCAAACAAAGACCTAACTTTTATTAAGGAATAATTGGGAAAAAGAATGTAGACCTTTGTCTAAAGTCTTTGTACAGCGTATTGCACCACCAGTGGACAGTTGTTCTGAAGACGCCACATCTTGTTTGTGTGAAGCCCTGTCTCATATTCTGTGCAAAACGATAGCTAATGAGAAACAGCAGATTTCTGATTTATATGATAGATATGTGTTTTTAATGCCCTGTAAATTGCGTCACATGTTTCTGGAATTAGATTCGTCAGAGCTGGCTTGGAAATAACGGTGGAAAATTTAAAGTCTTCGTAGCTTCTGCTTGTTGCCAAAAATCTGAGTGTCGCGGATAATCGTTCGTGGGGGGTAATCGCACGTCTCATAATGGTGTCTGCTCTCGAAATCATTGGCGTAATTAAGTTTAGCAAATGCAGGTATGTGGCTTCGTCCATACGTAAGTAATTACGAAAATCGTCAGAATCATTGCGTAATTCCGCTATTAAATTCGTATGAGACAAGAAATTCCTATTCAGCAACCATGGTTTACACCATTTCCTT